ATCAGGAAGGGTAGAAATCTAATTACAAATGATAAGGTATGAAATACATTTAYTCTTCAAGAGGAGGGCTTTAAAATATTTTCAAGTAGATACGATTAAAAAAAAATTGAAGATAGATATTTTTGATCATTGCCTGTAGATGGTTTCCACCACTCAACTCTTTCGCCTTAGGTTCATTTCAAATAATTCTAAATTTCCAGAGCACTTTCCACAATTCCAAAATTTATAGTTAACGAAATTCACCACATAGTATTTCAGTGTATAATACTCAATGCTAGTGGCTTTCAATGAGACAATACTTTTTTCGGAATTGATCCTTTTGATAGCTGTTACTTGGTTTACATTCATTTYGGTTTGCCTTCTAATTGACTATATTTTCTGGACTATGAAGATAAGTCCGAGACGATTAACGGCTTGGAAAAGAATATTTGGTTAATTGTTAACACACGGCAGTAAATGCTGCAAAAAGTGGTCGAAAATTGTGCCTCTCAGCTGGAATTTATTTGTCGCTTGCTCGAAATTATTTTTAAAACACATTGACAAACCCTTATATTTATAAGAAAGCTAAATTTTTAGCCATAACATTAAATTAGAACAGTTTGATTTCTTCCTCAAAAACAAATTTTTGTATCAGAGAATATATTGTTTTTGAACTGTAGTATCAACAAAAAAAAAATGTTAACTTCGGATGCATCAAAGCCACAGTAGCCGTGACTGCTGTACCTCTTATAGTACGAAACGATCTTCCTTTTAATTTAGATCGGACAGTTCATATGGCAGCTATATACTCCAAGGTCCGATGTCGGCGATTTCTATAAATGAACAGGATAGAAAARARCGTGTGCTGAATTYCAGATCGATATATCAAAAACTAAGGGGCACTATTTTGCGTATATACAGATAAACGGACATACAGACAGCCGCTTACGGCTAGATCGACTCAGAACGTCACGCTGTTCATTTAGAAATAAATTTATAAGGTTTCTGACATTTCATTCCTGGTATTAGAAATTTCGTGGTAAACTTAATACAGGATATACGAGGTGTGTTCAAAAAGTATCGCGAATTTTGTGTTTTTTCACAAATTATTTACTTATTCATGAATATCTATTTTGTCCCCTTTAAAGTAATCCCCATGAGATATTATACAACGGTGCCAACGGTTTTTCCAATCTTCGAAGCACTTCAAAACATCATTTTTTTATCTTCTTCAGCTTCTCCTTCGATGCCGTCTTTATCTCGTCAAGAGAAGCATAACGTCGTCCTTTCATGGGCCTCTTCAGTTTAGGGAACAAGAAAAAGTCACAGGGGGCCAGATCTGGGGAATACGGTGGCTGCGGCATCATTAGTGTGCTGTTTTTAGCCAAAAAGTCGCGCACAAGCCACGGTGTGTGAGCAGCGGCGTTATCGTGGTGCGAAAGCCAATTTATGTCACATCTTCTCGGCCTTCTGAGAACATTTGTACCACCGATAAACGTTGCTTCGGTCCAAGGTAGCTCTCCGTATGCCACAGTCAACATTCGGAATGCATCCGCGCACTTAATTTCATTTTCTATACAAAATTTTATACAGGTTCTGTGATCCATTTTCTTGAATAGGTAAAAATCGAAGACGATCCAAAACACGTGCAAGCAAAGCAGCTGTCAACAATTAAATGAACATTCAAAATCGCCGAGCTAGTCGGCATAAGTGAGAGACATGAGTACCAACATAACGCCACAAAAAATTCAAAATTCGCGATACTTTTTGAACCCACCTCGTATTCAGGGAATAAATATGGGTAATGTTGAACTCTGTGCTCACTTTTGCTTTGATTTCTGTTGCTTTGAACCTTAGCAAAAATCATTAATAAGCAAACACTAAGTATTGATTGAGTTTTTAACAAAATTTTCAGTAAGTAGTAGTTCAAAGTAGTAACTTTATAAGAGTCAGTAGCGTATCATACCACACCTATTAAAACAAAATTTGAGTTTTGGTTATAAAATGACTATCATACACCCATATTGAGACATAAGTTGAGATTTGGTTATAAARGGTTATATATTGGCTATTATACACTCATATTGGAACTAAATGTGAGTTTTGGTTATAAAGTGGTTATGATAAACGGTTATAAATTGGTTACATATTGGTTATAAATTGGTTATATCTAATAGCTGAAGCTTAWATTTAATAATTTTATGTATACATATATGTAATATGATGTAGTGAATCATAAGYTATAAAAAAAATTTGGRTTTTTGGTGACCATWTATAATCGWATATTTRAAAAACAGAAKTAAAAGACTACACAAATTTAACKTTAMTYTTACAAATTTTGAATATCGTCAACTCAAGCTTCCATTAACCACACAAAGAATACTGTAAGACAAATGCCCGGCCCCACGTAAACTCTAAATTTCAGTCGTTGAACAGCAATGAAYGTCAAAGACCGCTAGGCAAATAAACGTAATAGCAAAAGCAAATTGCAGGCAAAAATTTCTGCAAGTTCCACTTACACAYGAAGTTGGTCCAATAAACCTTGACTTTGGCCGCTGCAGCCGTGCATATGCTRCATATGGGCATCGTAAACAACTATTTGCAATATTCTGCACTCAACCTGTTCCAGCAGCGCTGCATACACTACACACACGTCGGTTTATGTGTCTGATGGCGCGAATGCAACTTGCTACAGCGATGGTGGCTACGCGCAGGCGCAAACATTAAAGCTGCAATCCAACCAACGAATTTGCTTTTGTATATATATATATATGTATGTATGTATTTATATTTTGCCGACTGTGCGCTTTTGTACGATTACAYGGCTATCTTACATGCGGGACGTGTGTGTGCTTTTCGCCGCCAATAAACTTCGTGGTCATTCAACACACACAGCTGGCGGTCGTCTTGCATCAAGATAATTGCCTTAAAACACAAATCGGTCAGTCAGACATTCGCTTGGTCTGTTGATTGCCTGACGATGGTCGTTGGTCATTTGAGTCAGCGAAGACGTCGCAYAGCCGTTGGTACATTGACTTAAATAGCCGATGGCGAATGCAAAATCATGCACTCTCAGCTGCACGCCACTGCAGCATTGCATTGCTGCCACAAAAAAAAAAGAGTGTAAAAATAAAAATCGCTTGAGTTATACGCACATTTGACCCGCAAGTCGCGCCATTTGTGGCACAAAATTTGCTGATGGCACGCACTCACGCATGCGCAYACACACACACACCGAAATGCAGAAATGCTTTTGCAGCGTGTCCGCAAAAGCCGCTTGCAACGCCTGTGGGCAAATTAAAAAATTTGATTTTTCTTCTTTCTTTCTTAATTTTGCCGCATTTATCGGCGCTCCTTCGCATTAACTGTAAACCAGGCTGTGGTGTTCGGTTGCAATCGTTAATGCAGCAGATAAGGTTAATTGATTATGAAAATGCCAACGGTTTACAATCCGCTTGTCTGCATGTCTGTCGACATTTTGGCCTCTGCAACACACATGCATACACTCACACATATATAAATATGTACATGCATGTTCATATGACATAAATATGCTTGCTGCATGCCACATGTTGCATGTAAAATGCTAACCAAATTCAGTAAGGAAATTAATATAGCTAGTAGAGTATGTATGTACATGTCTGTGTATTTGTTTGTAATTATGCATGGAGATTTGGTATTTGCGGAAACAGGTCAAATGTAAGTATTGAAAACTACACTTATAAAACCCCTGTAGGGATAACAAGTGGCTTTTTATGTATTATATCAGCAAGATTGTTTTTACTACTCAATAAAGTCATTTATTGTCTGATGGACTTTAATGCGAATGCGAAATGATTGTACTAATGAAGAAGRACTTTTTTGCTCATCAGTAAGCTATACTGGACATTCCAGAATCTGGCCTCTGCCACAGCTAAAACTGTGGGTGAATTACCACTTGCGTGCCACCTAGAGTATCAATCCKAGCATGCCACTTATTCATCCTATTATTACCCATATGAATTTAGTGCATTTCAATCTTATGCTGTAGATGGATGAGTCTTTCAGCGATTATTGTTCGCTTCTTCCTCCTACTTGCCTAGACACTTATTAGAAGAAAATTGAATGCCTCTCGAACGCACCCCTTTTAAAACGTGGTCTTTGGACCGGCTAATGTCGGAATTGAAGGAAGTTATACTTGTACTATACATACATTTCGGCGCATACTCGTCARTGACTAAAAACTTGGTTATTGCTAGTCAACTTTCTTTTTGTAATTTTATTCATTTGAATGGTTCAAATGACTTAAATTTTAGACCCTAAGCACTACATAGCACTCCCGCTATAGTTGAAAATGTCTTTAATCTCACCTTAGTCAAAAAAAAGTATGGCCTTCTCTGATTTCATACAAACCCTYCGACAAAAGATTTATAAAGATTAAGCTCGTAAATATATTTTTTGAGGAACCCGAAAAAAAATTTGGTATAATTTTGTTACCGGTTAAGACCAGAAGAGCTTAACAAGTATAGCCCCTACTGAGTTGTATGTCTTTGAGGATTAAGTGAAAGACCCACTTCGTCTCACTATAGTAATGGTCTCCGTATCATGTGGTTCAGTACAGTCCACCTAACAATTTCTACTATTATACTATATACATATAAGGAATCAACGATCTGCATGCTGCTACTAGTGAGCTTGGCGAGTACTTAAGATTTGTTCAGAATCCTTACTCATTAGGTATCATTTAATACGATTTGTCAGAGTAAATTTGTCATGTTGAACAAGAATTTTGATGACTAGTTTGATAGTTATCTATCTAGAAAACTGAGCTTATGTATGCTTTTAAATTATTTGTAAAGGTTTGAACATTTTTGCAGAAATATTATTATTTTCAATTTTTTATTTTAATTTTGAAGAAATCTATGATGGTATATATCCATCCTTTAGACTATAAATACTTGACCTTAGACTAATTTTATTATCACATGCAAGCGAAAATAAATTATAGTGACAATTTTTAACATTCTTTCTTACATTTCCAGTTTGTGGTCGTCGCATGTTCCCCGAACCGCGCATTGTKGGTGGGTCTAATGCTGCTTTCGGCCGTTGGCCATGGCAGATATCTCTGCGACAGTGGCGCACATCGACTTATCTGCATAAATGTGGCGCAGCGTTGTTGAATGAGAATTGGGCCATCACAGCGGCGCATTGTGTGGAAAAGTRAGATTATAATCACAATTAATTATTTTAACTAACTAAGAGTAAGATCTATATGYATACAACTACTTAATTTCTTTCAGTGTACCACCATCTGATCTCTTGCTGCGCATGGGTGAATACGATCTGGCAGAGGAAGAGGAGCCTTACGGCTATCAGGAGCGACGTGTGCAAATTGTGGCCTCTCATCCACAATTCGATGCGAGAACTTTCGAATACGATTTGGCGTTACTGAGGTGAGTACAGGGTGGGGGAGGGGGTTTTTGTTTAAATTTGAGTGAGCATTCAAATTGTTTAAATAAATTTTAATACTTAAAAAAGAGAGTATGGAAATAAAATAAGAGTTTGTAAGGACTTCGGCGGCTGCAGCAATTAAAAATTTTCAGAAAACTTGTATCGAACTGTTTTAAGATTTGAAGAAAATACACAAATTTCTTAAAAAAATATCCAAAATTCAGTCTGAACTATTATTAAATTTTCAAACAAATTTTCCAATTTTTCKTAACATTCAAATATATGTGAGATATATTAATTTGATGCTCAAAAATTCTCTTAGAGCTTTGAATGTTAAGAAAAATTGGAAAATTTGTTTGAAAATTTTCAAATATTGTTGTCGTTGAGCAAAAAGCAGTACATGATATTAGATATACATGCAGAAATTTCAAACGGTGTCTCATAAAACACAAAATATTTTTGAAATAGTTCGGTATCGCTTTATTTCAAAACTATTTTTGAATAGAGTGACAATCTTTTGAAAAAGTGCAACGGAAAATTTTAATATGTGGCAAAATATTGGGGTGGAAATGGTTCCAGAAAGTACTG